AGAAATCAGTGCTTATTTTAGTTAGTATTCTATTGCTGTGAAGAGACTCCATGACCAAGGCAACTCTTATAAAAGACAGCATTTAATTTCAGGCTCATGGTTCCAGAGGGTAGTTGAATCCATGCCCATACAGGCAGGAAGCAGACAGGCATGGTGCTGGAGCATCAACTTTTGATCTGCAGGCAGCAGGCAGAGAAAGAGAAACACTGGACCTGGTGTGGGCTTTTAAAACCTCAAAGCCCACTTCCAGTGACACACCTTCCTCTAAAAGGCCACACCTCCTAATCCTACCCAAACAGTTCCACTATCTGGAGACCATACATTCAAACGTTTGAGCTTATGGAGCCATTCTCATTCAAGACACCACAGCGTCTTTACCAAGGGCCTTTGTGGGATATAGGAAGGCACAGTAGAGCCACAGGGAAACCTCTGCATGGATTCCAGAAGTTACAATACAGCATTCTTATATTAAAGATTGGTGGAAGCTAGCTTTCTGCTAAGGTCAATGACACATTCTAAAAGTTTTACTTGTAGTTATGAGGCTGTTAGATTAGATACAGAGAATGATGGCAAATCGTTATTAAAAGGCACTGATGACAGCTTAAGATCATTCTGGCTTTTGATCTGGAATATTCCATCTCTCTATAATCACGGCGCTTCAGTCAGTTTGTAGGATCTTCAATACAAATGTGGCTTCTTGAGAGAACTTGGCTTTTTGAGAAAACTTCACATCATAATTATCCAGAAATTTCCTGCTATGAATGAACTGAAATACTATATCCTACTATGGTTTGGATATTAAATATTCCCCAACTCATGTGTTGAAGGTGTGGTTCCCAGTGTAACTCTCCAAGGTAGGCCTTTTAGGACATGTTTGGATCATGAAAGCTCTAGCCTAAATCCACTGGCTTAATTCACAAACGGCTGCATAATCAGTTTTGGAAAGTGGTAGAAACAGAGATATGGGATTTGGCTAGAGGGTCACTGAGGGTGTGCCCTTGAAGGTCTATATTTTGCTCCCACAACCTCACCGTCTTCTCTGCCTATTTTCCACGGGGTGAGTTCAGTGAACAACTGGTGCAAGTCAGTTCTCCCTTTTCATGATGTTCAGTATGGGGTCAAGCGCAGGCTGCGAGGGCATGGAGGCAGGTATTCCTCCTACAGACTGGCCCGTGCAACCATGACAAGTAAAGTAATAATTTTATATATAACTTTCATTTTACATTATAGGAAAGCTATTTCCTTAATACGAAGCTAGCAAATGAGTAGATTTATTGCTACCTGAAATGTTTTCTTTATATAATTATCTAAAATATATTGACAAACATTGGGAACTTTGAACTTGCAGAGTCAAGGATGATGGCAGGCAATCATATAATCTACAGATTCATTTTATAATTGAAATCTACCATTTCACTCCTACTGATTGACGCTGCCTTTGTTATTACAAAGAGATAGAACATTTTGTCACGGATTGTGGTAACTCCAAAAAAGGTTTTCAAATGAGAAAAGACATATTTTTTATATCACTCCTATTCAAAGACCTCACAGGTCTATGTTTAAATATCCCCCTAGGAACTTAAGAATTAGTTGAACTACGTTTCTTGGAAATTGTACCACAGTTATTTTAAGTTAAAAATACTTAAAGTTGGAACTTCAAATTAAAGCCCTTGGTGAGCAGTAACATATGTGCCAGGCACCTGTCAACTATAAAAGTCTGCTGAAAGTCGCTAAGGTTCACCAGTGCCCCTGCTGAAGGTGGATTACAACGGTGGAGACCAGCAAGGCAAGAGGACAGACGCCAATGTAAGAAGGAGTTTCTCCTTGAAGGGTCAAGTGCTCCTGGGAAGAGCTACTCAATGACACAGGCCTCCCATGCTCTATGGTACATTTCTAAAACATGTTTTCAATGAAATGCAGCAAAGCATATTTAAAAGACTTAGATGATTTTAGACGATCTTTTTTACCTCACATGAGTAGACATTGGTCATTCAAACATACAGCATTTTGAAAGAAAACCATTATTCCAAAGTGTTACAAAGTTAACAATTCTCAAACTTATCTTCTCCAGGTCAAGGAGAATTAGTTAAGCTACAAAAAGTCTAAATAAATGATATATCCATAGATTTTTAGAAAACACCAAAACAAAACAAAAACAAAAACCAACCCCCCCCTACAAGAACCTGTCTTTAATGTAAGTACTCAACACATTGTCGTGGTTTATGCTTTTTTAAAAAAAAAAAACTGCATTTTTAACTTTATGATTTTTTTGGAACATGGAGATAGACAGACACATCATGGATTTTGCTTGACACGAGGCCTTGGCAGCTCATTGCTGAAAAGCTTCTGAAGGCAGAGTTTTCACACTGTGGGGTTTGTCTGGGAACCATGCATAGGATCCCAAGAAGAGGGGGTCAGCTCAGTTCGCCACTCTGAGACCTGCAGTGGTATCATTTTGCAAGTCCTCTCAAAGGCCTAAAAATAAAGCGGTACGTTGTGGAGTTGAAGGTATTGTCTTACTACCGTTGGCAAGTTTTAGTTTCTGAAAACTGATCTGTGTTGTCTTACTACACCGGCAAGTTTTAGTTTTTGAAAACTGATCTATCTCTTTGTAAGGAGAGGAAGTCATAGGAGGCCAGCATAGGGTAGATCCTGAATGATCATACTCACATCATTTGATCTATCCATAGAATTTATTAAAAACCAAACCAAACAAACAAAAAGCTCCCTACCAGTCTTTAATAGAAGTAATCCATTCATTGTGCTGGTATTTGAAAAACATTCATGCTTCAAAAAAAAAAAAATCCAATGCAAATTATACCATGAGTAGACTCTAAAAATATTTACATTATGACTCTTAACAGTAGTAAAATTACAGTTATGAAGTAACAATGAAAATAATTTTATAGTTTGGGGTCACTACAACATGAGGAACTATATTAAAGGGTTGCAACATTAGGAAGGTTGAGAACCACTGGTCTAAAAGGTGAGGAAAGAGAACACCTTGCGAGCATCTCTTGCTAACTACCATAAGCTGTTTTGCCATGCTTTCCTGTAATGATGGACTGAAACCTTCAAAACCATGAGAAAAAATAAATCCTCCATCCTATAAGTTGCTTTATTCAGGGATTTTATCCCAGCAATAAGAAATGAACATAAATACCTTATCCCTAATTGAGCAATTTAAATAACCAGACAGCTAAAAAGATTTGCTAGTTGAAATGGGAAATTCTTTCATAGTTTAAAAAAGTAGCTGTGATCTCTGTGTCAAACATTGGGCCAAATTATGGTAAAATGAAAGCAAAAGTAGTCTTGGCATGTATTATGTCTGGACATTTGATTTATGGAAAAACAAACTACCACAAATTGAAGCTGAAATATTTAAAGTCCTTCTTCATGGCAAAAGGTTAAGATAATACCCAGATTCAGTGTTCTTTATCTCTATTTTTATTCTTCATCTCTTGTAAAGCCTCAGGTATTTTCTTATGAAGAGGGTCCATTTTTCCATAATGGAGTTCCAAGAGTGAGTTTTGTTAGGACAGTATTTAACAGTTGTCTGGTCATTTCACCAACAGATTTTTGATTGATGTCCAAACCAAAAGCTTTGGGAAAGACCTAACTATAGGCAAAAGAATTGAGGAAGCTTCCAGACTTCCAAAGTAGCTAATGGGAGGGATACCTCAGTGGCTTGTGAGGCCTGGAGGCTCCAGCCTTCTTAGCTGTCTAGTTTTAGTTCAGTTCTAATCTTTTCCATGAAGCTTCTTGAATTTTTTTTTTTTGATTCGGACTAATTTCTCTTTCTTTTACATAACCCAGTGTTCTCTCCTGCCAGTATGTGTTAGATTTCTTACATTATTGACATGCCTGGGCTTTATAGCTAAGCCTCTTGATTGGAGGACCCTTACTGATTCACCTTGTGTATGTTCAAAGGTCCCTATAATGTGTCAAGCGTAAACTAAGCACTCAAAATAATACTAATGAATAAGTTGGTAAATATGACCATGAAGTAGTTCTGAATTCCTCAAATAAGTATATGGCAGCTCCCTCATGACAGAACAGGACCTCATGGTGTTGTCAAGGAAGCAGATCAGGGACAGTTGACTGAGCACAAAGCAGGCATGTGAGCTATTGCCCAGGGCAGCTCAAAGTACAAAGAAGCACACATAAGCTGGAGGGTAGCTTTTTCAGCCATTACCCTGCAACTGCTTATTCTGTATTTCATTAAAATGCTCCCCAATGCCGGGCGGTGGTGGCGCACGCCTTTAATCCCAGCACTCAGGAGACAGAGCCAGGCAGATCTCTGTGAGTTCGAGGCCAGCCTGGTCTACAGAGCGAGATCCAGGAAAGGCACAAAGCTACACAGAGAAACCCTGTCTCAAATAACCAAAAAAAAAAAAAAAAAATGCTCCCCAAGTTAAAAAAAAAATGTTCACTTGGGCTAAGTAATGTATTTTTCTGTGAACATTCTTAATGCTATTCCCCCCTCAAAAAAAAACAACCCCCCCAAAAAAAACAAAAAACAAAAAAGAAAGCAGGAAGGTCATTTATTAATATCCTCACTTCACAGGATGCTCCACCAAAATGGGTAAATGACCTAAAGTACTCTGTCCCCTCATCATCTGGGACTCCTCAGAAACAGGGAGTGCCAGAAACAATGTTCTTGGTCTATTCTTTCTAACAGTGTACCCAGCGTCAGAAATAAAAACCTAACTTGCATTAGCACCTATCATTTGCAAGAAATCCTGATTCAATGCATTTAAGGTCATATTAATCAACAAACATGAAAAAATAGTTCTGTTTTATAGGCTTATTATGTTGGGACATTAAAGATGGCAGGGTGCATCATCCTGTTTGGGTTTGGCAATGCGTTTAATAATGTTCTATGAAGTCTCCTCATTAAATCTGGTTTGGCTTCTGTGGTCATACTGTGGTTTTAGGAAGAAACAGAAGGAAACAAGATTAATGACATGCCAAAAAGAAGGGAGGGAATAGTCACTAAGTTATTTAGGACCAAGTTTATTTGTTCACTTAAAAAAACAACAAACTTCAACTTGATTTTGTTTCCACAAAACATTTTCTTTAAAATATGACTTCATTCTAATTCAAGCCCCTGTGTTTGGTGTACCTGTCATCGAGGAATATGAGGGGAAGGTAGATTAGAAAGTAGGTCATAGTATCCTCATTGCTGTAGAGATGGGGAGCCTCAACCACACTGAGAAAATGATGGAGACTTCCTGTGCCCAGGTGGCAGCCTATATCCTTTCCTAGACATACATTTCCTAAGAGGGTGAGAACACATTTACAGTTTACAAATTATACAAAGTATTAAAAAGTAAACTATTTCAGAAACTCTAATCCCTCCTGAACCCACTACTGTGAGCCTGTGCAGATCTGCCTTCAGACTGAGCATGTTTACTTAGAGAGCTGAGGAAGACAGCCACCACTAAGATCAAGACAATGTATTCATAAAAACAAGGATTTAAAACAAACTTCTTCATAATACTTGAAAACTGAGTGTAAGTTCTTCATATTTTTCATTTTTAACAGAGCCGAGAATTTCTGTACTTCTAATGTATGAAAAAGACGGAATCAAAGTGTCCTATGTATCATATCCCAAGGACTTGCCATGGCTGTATCTTAAGCTCCAGCCTTCATAGAGACCATGTGAAAGTAAGCAGAACAAGATGGAAAAAGGAAGTATTTGAGCCAGGGGTTGAAATCCAGTTTTGTACAGCAAGGACCTGAGTCCTTCTCTCCAGTACACTTAGTACGGATTCCAGTGAGTTGTTCTGTTGCCCAGCTGCTAGAGAAAGGCATTCTACACAGTGTCCCCAAAGGCTCAAATGCTTAAGGCTCAACACTCCCTGTTGAGAGAGTTACTGGATCATGAGGACTGTAACTCCACCAATGGGTTAAAGCATGAGTCCACAGCTGAATGGGCTGCCAGGAGGGAGGGAACAGACGGGAAGCAGGTAAGAGGAGCATATCTCTGAAGGGTATGCTGTGGCCTCTTCCGGTCTCTTTGCTTCCTGACAGTCGATAGTGAACGGCTTTCCTGTGCCTTGCCCTCTTGCTGTGTTTCTGCCTGCTACAGGCCTGAAAGCCGTGGAACCAGCTGACCATGGACCGATACTTCTCAAGCCATAGACAAAAGCCTTCCCTCTGAAGTCAGGCCAGGCCTTTTGTCACAGCAGTGCAAAGGGACTAACGCAAGGGGCATGTGATTTCTAAAGGAAGGACTGCGTCTGCTTACAGCACTTCATACCAACTGATCTCTAATTAAAAGTTTTTTCAGACAAGGTTCCACCATGTGGTCCAAGTGTCCCAGAACTAGCTGTGGAGTGCAGACTGGAGTTGAGACCCTCTTGCCTAAGCCTCCAGAGGTCTACGATTAGAGGCTTGACACCACACTTGGCACAAGAAGAAGTTTTAGTTCAAATCCAACATGGTCATTGCTTACATCTCATAAAAGGGTACCTTTTATGATACCTAAAAATTTTTTTTTTTTTTTTTTTGGTTTTTCGAGACAGGGTTTCTCTGTGTAGCTTTGCGCCTTTCCTGGGACTCACTTGGTAGTCCAGGCTGGCCTCGAACTCACAGAGATCCACCTGGCTCTGCCTCCCGAGTGCTGGGATTAAAGGCGTGCGCCACCACCGCCCAGCTGATACCTAAAAATTTTAAGAAAGGTGAGATAAGAGATTCAAGAAGGGCTTTACAATACATAGGGAGATGAACTCTTATACTAAATAATATGGCTCTTATATATATGTATGATTACCCAATATTGGGTCAAAAACATGATTTTGTAAAAACTGTAATGAGATACACTATTGAATATTCATTTACTTCAACACTGACATTTTTATGATTAGCTTTATTAACAGGATAATATGTTCATGCACACACACCTTTTTACAACAGATTCACTATTCCCAATGTTTGATTTGAACCAACAAATACTCAGTTGAACACGAGAGAAGAAATGAGATTTTCTTTCTATGTAACTGGCTAAATTGTTTTGAAGAGTAAAAGTTAATATTGGTATTTAAAAACCTAAATTTTCAAGGCTTCTGTCAATTCAACCGCGAATCTCTTCCTCAGGCCACAGGACTGCCCATTAGTCTTTCCTGTCGGAGAGCAATTAATCTCTTGAACCACTTTTCTTCAGCTTCAGCTTTTTCAATAAATAACTACAGTAAGAGAAGGAGAAGGAAAATGTCACTGTGCGTCAGTAGCTCAGAACTGATGCGACATAACACAAATCACTCTGATAGAAAGCTTCCAGAACAGCAGTGTATAGTGCTCAACCCTTGAGGACTCGTCACTGCTTACCCCACCCACCACAAGTTAGTGCTCGGCAGTCATGAGGCAAAGGAACAGTCTGAAGGATGTTTCACTGACTGGCCATTTCACATCCTGTGTCTGGGAGTTCATTTCCTACCCTGCTTCTAAGAAACATCAATCACATCATTGTGTAAAGTCAGTAAAGTACGGTACTAGTGACAGCTCACAGCTGAGAAACCAGAGCCGACCTAGTGTTAGAAGTTCTACTGTCAGTTAGAAGAAAGGAAAACCATTTTCCATTTTTGACCATTTTCCTAAGTACAGAATCGTTCTAGAAGTCGGGAAACCCGTAGACAACACCAGACTTAAATATACGTAAACAATCCTAAGGCCTGAGGTCAGCTGCTCATTTGTAGCCCAGAGAAGCTAGGAACCCTTTCCTGCATGTCTTCCTAGCGTCAGAACAAAGGGACAACTGCTTGGGTGACTCAGTGAGCAGATTCATTAGGTTTAAGTGACTCACATTTGGATGAGCCAGAGAATTGTCATCTTGGTACTTGATGGTCGTGGGGATGCTGTCGGGGTCTATTTCCTTTCCGATGCTGGGTGGGTCAGCGGCTACTGATGCTGGTCCTGGTGGTGGAGTCACATGCTTCACTTCACTTGGTTCTACTGACTGAAAATGCAACACAGCAATCTAAGTATTACCCATGTTTAGAAGTTGGGTTTCATATATATAATATTGAACAATTGTTCTAGTAAGTCTTCTTTGAGATGATAGTCATCTCAAAAGGTTCCACTCCTGAATGACAAGAAAATTGTTACTCAAAGAAACACAAGTGTGGAGGGAGTTTCTTTCATTTACGATAATCAGTGTGCTTTTCTTATAAAATGTGTTTAGTCTTATACTATTGAAATACACACGCATGCATATACACACATGCACACACATATACACTTATTTTGCATCAAATTATAATAATAAAATATTACACTATACCTCTAATATTTAGCTGGCCTTAGTTATAAAGGCAAAAAGTTATCCAAAAGTTATCCTATACATATCTATGCCTGTTAACTATAATTTGCACACCATACTATGGATTTTAGCATATCAACAAAATTCTACAACAGCTATCATGATCTACTTCAGAACATCTTCATTATTCCTTCCAACATTCCATGTCTCTTAGCAATCACTCTTGACTTCTTCCAACCTCTTGATGACAGCTGTCTATTCTGGACGCGCTGGTAAAGGAACCATGCACTGAGTGGTTTGCTGTGACTGGCTCCTTTACTGAGCCTAGCATTTTAAAGAACCATACATGTTATAACATATCAGTACTTCATATCTGTAGTTGCTAAAGATCCCATTGTACAGATCTGCACATTTTATTGATCTGTGAATTATCCATTGATGGACTCAAAGGTTATCTTTTAAGATTACTTAAAATATTTTGAAATAAAAGCTCGTAAAAAAAAAGGTACATCATATTCTGTAAGAATAAAATTAAATTTGCTACTTTTATTTTTTTCAAATTACATGTAGTGTTTGCCACGGCCCATACACTGTCCTGAGTGCTGGGCACCCAAAGACTGATAACTCATTGTTCCTGCCTTGAAGGGACCAGTGGCACATGCAGATTCTGGTCAACTTCAATCTTCCTTGACAGAGGAGGGGTCTGAGGAGTGACGGATAAGCAGCAAGGTTGTAGGGATTGTATGAAATGAGCTGGAGAAGACTCTGAAGTTAAAATTAAAATATAGTATAAAGAAGACTAATGGGAGATCAATTCTCCTCTGGAGTCTTTTTCTATATCTATAACTTTCTATTTTCTTTTGACTTATATCTACTTTTGAACATCCATTTTCTGAATGAAGTTCAAAACAAATATTACTATGAAAAATATCTAGAAGATGAATTATGCATAAATTAATTAACTTTTTCTTAGATTACTTTATCTTCAATTTGGAGACCTATCAATTTAGCCATCTCATTAAACAATGCTTGGTAAGCCCTAGATACAAAGGAGAATAAACTAGAAAAAGGCCCTGTATTTTTGCTGGTGAGCTTTGTTGTTGACTGAATGAACAGATTATAAACACATATATAAAAATAAATACATAATTATTAATAATAGTATACTTTAGCAAGAAATAAATAGGAATAACGAGAACTGGAAAGGTGAGTCTAGTTTAGATTTGGTGCCCACAAACGGTATCTCTTATTTAGGAGGTAAAATTTAAGACCTGATGAATAAGAACAGCTAGACATGAAGAGGAAGGAAGAGAATACTTTAGCCAGAGGGAACAGTGTGTACAATCTGAGAGGAGAATTTTCAGAAGGGAGCCAGAGGAGAGGGTGTACAGTCAGACCCTTGATCGCTGCTTGCTAAGCCCAGCCACACCTCCACCAGCACAGGAACTGATCAGGCCAAGGCCAGGAACTGGGAGAATCATACTTTGCTTCACTCATCCTAAGATGTTCACTCTTTGCCCCCCAATGTCAGCTACCTGAAAACTGCTCAATAGATACTGTCAGTTTCTATAGTTGTTTTGGTAGAAGGGAAAGCCCTTATGTGGTGGTAAGTAGCTAGTTTTGTATGTCAGCATGCATGTGTGCGTGCATGTGCGTGCGTGTGTGCGTGTTAAAGCCAGAGGTCAACACTGGGTGCTGTTCCTCAGGTACTCTCTATGTTATTTCTTTTTTCTTTTTTAATATTTATTTATTTATTTGTTATGAATACAGTGTTCTGGCTGCGTGTTTGCCTGCAGGCCAGAAGAGGGCATCCGATCTCATTACAGATGGTTGTGAGCCACCATGTGGTTGCTGGGAATTGAACTCAGGACCTATGGAAGAACAGCCGGTGCTCTTAACCGCTGAGCCATCTCTCCAGCCCCTCTATGTTGTTTCTTGATGCAGGGTCTCAGACTGGCCTGGAGGACACCAAACAGACTAGGCCTGCTGGCCAGTGATGGAAGGGATCCTACCTGTCTCCACCTCTCCTAGTGCTGGGATTACAAGCTCACCACCACACTTTTACATGAGGTTCTGGAGATGGTACCCAGGTCCTTATGCTTACATGACATGACATGCACCTGATGTACTCAACCATCCCTTCATCCCAGATGAATTAATTGATAATGGTAAGATTTAGTCTTTTTTTTTTAAGCATTTTATTTAATTCAAACATGAATTCATTTTCATCATATAGGAAGCTGGTCTGCATGCACAGGAGAGACTTCTATTCTTATAAACCCAATGACCCTTAAGACTATATTTCTAGGATAAGAGCAGAAATTATTACAAACTAGAGAAATCTATGCCACAAACTGTTTCCAAAGGAAGGCATGTTTATCAATACTAAACCTAATAATCAATGATATGCACACAAACCACAACATTAGCTTTCATAGGCATTAAGAAGAAATAGTTATTAAATTTTATTTGGCAGCTTTCTTATATTTTAGAGCCAATATTCCCCTCCCATGCCATCCAGGCTCCAAATATTTGTATATCTCTGATCTATTGGGTCTTGAAGGTACATGGCCCTAGAGATAAAGATATGATACACATTTATGAAGTTGAGTTAAAGGCAAGCCCGATATTCTGCACTGGGGAAAGTGGGACCCTTGTCAATTCAATAAGACTCAATAAGTCAATTTTCGGTAGTCCATGTTTGCTTATAAAGACTACCTGTCTTTGGACCCTAGCACGCTCCCACCGTACTTAGAGAGCAAATGCTGACCACATGAACGGCCTTGAAGAGGTGTGGAGTAGCTGTGGGTTCTTCCTCTTCAAGTGACAGAGATCTCATTCTGTTTTTTCCTGTGTGTTGTCCATTGTTGGTGTGTTCCAGTGTGTGTGCTGGGACACATGCATGGAGGCTGGGGGAGGATGAAGACTTCTCATCTGTCACTCTAGGCCTTATTCCCTCGAGGCAGGGTCTCTCATGGAACCGGGAGCTAGGCTGGCTGCCCAGAGGACCCAGTGACCCTCCTATCCCCATCCTACAGCACACATGTGGCCACACCTGGCTTTTTTTCCTGGTATTTCCCCTTCTGTGTGCTGGGATCTAAACACATATCTTCACGATTGCAAGAGCTCTTGCTCACTAAGCCATTTCTTCAGTCCCAACATTAAAAAAAAAAAGTATAAATCAACATATAAATTAAAACTATCAAAAGTTAGGACTGGAGCATGGGAGTTGTTGAATGGTTGAGTGTGGTTGTAAAATCAGTAGCTGCTCCTTAGTTAAGTGACAGAAACTCTAAGAGAAAATTGTGGCTCAACCATGAAATGGACCTCAGCACAGGCCCACAGAACGGCTGGCTTTGTGCAATACTGCCACCTGGTGGTACAATCGGAAAATACTTTCCTAATCTCCCTAGTTAACACAAATGCCCATACTGCACAGGGTTATTAAGTCTCTTCTTTTGAACACTGGAGGATTATCTGCCAAATGTATCAGTCTTACGGCTAAATAACTGATCTAAGTTTATGCAGGACAGCATCCTGAAAACAAGCTATATCTTGGCTTCTAAAGTTAACGATGTAGCAAAGATCTATCAATTCTCTAACTACTTGGGTAAGATCTCGGAGTTAAAGTAGTTAAATCAATATGCATTGTAGAATGCTCATAGTGTCTGGAAGGTTATTGCTAAAGGGCATTGTCTTCCTAGTGACAGTTCTCTAGCTTAATTAGTGGACTTCACTCCTAAGGAAACTGACTCCAGTTGAAAGGGTGGCTAGCATGGACAGCCGTTTTTAGAGAGGCAAACTTTATTCTAAGAGCACAGACTGTCCAGAAGAGACAGATGTGGAAACTTGGGCCCTGGGTGATTTAGTCCCCAGGAGAGTTAATCTTTGCTATGCAGCAAGGAGAGCTCATCATGTCTTCCCAGGACCTGGATGAAATAGTACTCAGGATAATTTACTTCTCTTTGCTAAGTAATCTCCTCATAAATAATTCATCTTCTTAGGCATCCCGAGTCCTGGCCTTCTACTGCAGACACAGACATTTCAGACTAGAAAGCGATGCCACTTTCTAGGCTAATAAATTGTCCCTCGTTTTATGTTTCAGTGGAGTATAAATTTATTCTTGTTAGCCCATCACTGCTCCTGTGAGCATCTTGGAGTGTAGTTACTAAGAACAGTCATGTGCTGGATGGTATTCAAAGGGGAATGCCATTCTCTGTTGATGCTAATCCTTACCATGTATGCTTTCTTGAAGGAAAAACATGAATTAAAAGTAAATGTAACAAGAAACAATACTTAGAACCAGACAGGCAAGTGTCCTAGGATAAAACCCAGTCTACAGACTCTAGACTAGTATTTTCACAGGAAAAACTTGCTCATTGATTCTAAGAACATCCAATAAGAATTGAGAATTCAGAATGAACTTCAGAAAATAAATATAAGTCCAAACCCTCAAGTAAATCATTGTTTTAGATGAATGTATTTACACTCTGCAAGATTAAGATATCAAACAGAATGGTCATATATACATATGAATGTCCATTTCATAGCTGTGGCTCCCAGGACTGTGATGACATCCTGAACGTTCAAATGCAGTAAGCACAGTGACAACCAGGGCTATGGGTGATCCAAGGCTACCTAGTCCTGTACCTGACATACATCATACACTCAGCTCATGTCCTTGTATATTCTACCTTTAAAAATGCCTGGTAATTAAAGTTCCAGGTATCTGTTAACACCAGGAATGCTAGAGGAAAAAACTTGATAATTCTGACACATAAGGTTAATAAACATGGAAAAGCTTTAGTTTAAAAGACAGAAAACTCCTTGTATTTTTGGGTAGAATTTAGAGTGCTACAATATTTTTGGAGGATAACTTTTGAAACATTAAATAATGCAAACGTGAACAGGTAACTTCACCTCACTAAAAACATGTGACATCCCAAAACATAACTGCTTAGAAATCTGATATTAAAGACAAAATAAATGGTTATTACATCTATCATTATTCTATTATACAGTCTTACATTTGCACTTTAGAAGCACAATGTAGTAGAAGCAGAAGTCTTTAAAGTAAGTGGAAACTACAGCTATTACTTCACTACATTATTGCAACTAAAGGAGACGTGTTTCTTAGAACATCTTTTCCTACTAAAGGAATGCAAATTCTGAAGAGCAGTCTTGTTAATGAGTGAAGAACACGTAGAAAATTCAACAGAGATGAAACGCCCTCAAAAGTCTTTACTGAGGTTGAGTAAGTGACACACATCTGGAGGTACAGTCTTCTGTTTGAGCAATAGCAGTAAGTGACACACATCTGGGCAAAGATGAGAGGTACAGTCTTCTGTTTGAGCAATAGCTTTAGCATTTAAAGTCTTTCCCAGTATCTAACTAGGAACAACAATTCAAAAAGTGTACACAGAGAGTTGTTATAAAAACCCAGGAAAATCTGTCTATATTCATGAAGTGGGCATTACAGTTACAGACGCATAGGTGGTGATATCTCAGATGTTTTAATAAACTTTAAAATACAAATGGTGTCAGACCCATGTTTACACTGTTTTTATGTAGGTGGCTTGGGCTGATTCTCACCAATTCATTCTCTCACCAGCATGACTGACATTCCCTCCCTCATTCATCTGCCTATTGGAGGAAGCACTCACATCTGAGTAAATCCATCAATAAAGCGTTCTTCAGCTGGAATCCAAAGGCTTATTCAGATGCCCATATGGGAACTTACTTTTTTGACTTCTTTACTTGATCTGAATGTCTGCTGAACAAAAGAATCGCTTTCAATGGCTTCGATTTCTTTAACTCTTTTTACTTGTTCCACCAGGGTGGCTTGGTCTAAAAAAGAACAGTGTTAGTGAACTTTGGTACAAGCTTGTTACCAACAATATACCCATGCTTGGGTTTTTCTTTTAACCGATGGAAATGCAATACATTAAGTTAAGCTACAATAGGTACTTTCCCCCCTTGAATTTCAAAAATAAAATATGCCTAGAAACTAAGACTCTCATCTAAAATCTATTTTTTTTTTTTCGAGACAGGTTTTCTCTGTGTAGCTTTGCGCCTTTCCTGGAACTCGCTTTGGAGACCAGGCTGGCCTCGAACTCACAGAGTTCTCAGCCTGCCTCCCGAGTGTGGGATTAAAGGCGTGTGCCACCACCGCCTGGCTCTCATCTAAAATCTAAAACCTACTGAGGAGGTATTGCTATTATGATTTTGGGTGATCTAAGCTAATTTTGTGGGAAGGCCTTTCCCTCTACTTTATTTTAACATTTTATTATGGAAATACACAAAAGGAAAGAAAGGACAACAAACCCACCCATAACCACCACCCAATTTTTATAATCACCAACACTTTGTTACTTTTAGTCCACTGAGTCTCGTTCTCCATGTATTTTGGGATCGAGACCCGGACTATGTAAAAACAAATCCAAGAGGGCATTCTACGCAAACCAAACTCCAGACCATGTGCTGTTTTCCCTAAAGACTTTGGTGGTCACCTCTAACAGATTAAGACTTGATACCAATCGTAATAATTTTATCATAATACTGTTTGTCAGGCCTCAAATTACCACTAATTAAATATGATTTGCATGACCCATGTTGCATTTTCACTGGTTTAAAAGATATCTTCCTATAGTAGGTTTGTTTGAGCAGGATATAAACAAGGACCCACATCCCTCTTGCTTGGTGGTAGGACTTCCAGTCTCTTTCCACAGAGCCTACCACTCTTTCCTCTCATTGTCGCTTACCTACTGGAGAGTGAGAATTCCTTTGTCATAGTCCCCTGCCGTATGGACCTCATGATGCTGTTATCCAGCATGCTCCTCTATCATCTACTGCTTGTGCAGATCACAACAAAGACCTGATTCTCCATTCCAATTCAATTTATTCCATTTCAAGAAGAGATTATCTGACGTTTGGAGAGATGTCTCAGGAGCTAAAAGCCATTGCTGTTCTTGCAAACGTCCTGGGTTCAGTTCCCAGTACCCACCTGGCAGCTCACAACCACCTTTAACACCAGTTCCAGGAAATCTGAGGTACTCTTCTGGCTCTGGCAAGCACCAGGCATGCATGTAGGGCACATACATACATGCAGGCACTCACACATACACATAAACTAAAAATAAGTAAGTAAATCTTCAAAACTTAGAACTGGCACTGTTATGTAGTTTTTTTTCTTTTTACATTAAATCAGGAAGCGCTCTGACCACCTGTCCTGATGTTCAGATTGATTAATGGGTTCAAGGTGATGAGTCAATCTGACCTTTCTATTATAAAGTTCTTATTCATCCATCTTTCAGTTAATGGTTTTAGTAACATTAATATTTGCTTCTTAAATCAATTATTTAATTAGAAGCTATAAAATAGTAATTTTTCTTGTTGTATTTACTAGTTCTGATTCTTTTACACTGGGGAACATTCTCTCATTAGCCAGTGGTGACTGAAATACAGGCTGTATTGTGGGGTCACAAATACATTTCTTCTCTAAATTCTGAGTGTGAGTGCAGGAACACACATGTGTGTGACGGCATCTATGTGGAGGCCAGAGGACAACTCCTGGGTATTGGTTCTCTCCTTCCACTGTGGGGTCCAGAGCCTGGACTGGAGTCACCAGGTTTGCATGGTCAGCACTTTTACCCACGGAGCCACATCATTGGCCCTGATGTTTATTTACATTCATTTAATATTTTGGTCTACAGGTATCGAAGATGCCATTATTGGCTCCCAATAATATGTGAATAGCTTTAATCCATGGCAAGCGCTTTCTTATTTTAATGCTCAAATTGCTTCAGCTCTGGGTAGCTTGCCCTATGGTGTGACCCCTAGTGGTGAAGGCATGACAAGATGTTGAGGGTTATTTTCTACAGTTCCTGTCCTCAAGGGAAGCTATCCACTTCTCTAGGGAGCCCAGACTCCTTGCCGTGGGGGAGACAGCAGAGGCAGTGATCCAGACATTTGACATGTTCGCCATTGCTGAACTGCCATTGCTTTTTAGTCTTTCTAGTGTGCCGGGAAGAAAAGATACCCTAAGAAGTTCTAATGTGAGTCCATGCTGACTACTACCAATTAAATTAGTAATTACGATTTTAAGTAATTTTATAGTCAAGCATCTTCTCATATGCTAAAAATCATCAGCATTAACAATATTGTCGAGGGCACTCACTTTCCTATGAGTTATACATTAGGTTAAAAAATGAAATGGCAACCACTGCTATAAACCACAAGGGGTATTAATGCATCTTTGACCCCTTGGATCACATACCAGATATCCTGAATATCAGATATTTATATTACAACTTATAACAGTAGCAAAATTACAGTTATGAAGTAGCAATGAAATAATTTTACGGTAGGGGGCACCACACCATCAGGAACTATATTAAAGGGTCACAGGGTTAGGAAGGTTGAGAACCACTGCTCTAGAGTCACTTGAAATAATTCTCTACTTGATTAAGCTACTAATTTGATAGGACTATTCATTTTCTTAAGTTTCTGACTAACATCCATGCTGTGAGGGAGTTCTAGGTTAACCTGTAAACATGACTATTCAGAGACTAAATCGATTTTCCTATCCCAGGCCCTGAGTGCTTCCTCCAAACCAAAGATAATGATTTGTATTAGGGTTGGATTTAGCCTCCATGATTTAGAAAACCATAAGCATTTACGTCTCCTCTTACTGTGTGACACTAGTATACTACATCCCTCTTGACTTCGTGTCTTCACTACAACTCAGCACAGCTTAGAGCTTTCTCTACTCCATTTTACAGCTGCACAGTTACCTGACTTACAGTTTGACCATGTTTTTATGAAGGCTCCATCGATGGCTGAGTTATTAAAATGGCTTTCTTTCACAGTTAGCATTTCCAAAGCAGCAACCTTCAGTTATCACTTCTTACTTAGTTTTGTGGTTTTGTCCCCCACACATTAGCTAGACAAGGAATGACATGCTTGCTGGGGAAACTTGCGCTCGACAGTGGTAGCAACACATGGCTGAACCAGAGGCCACTGCATACTCAGTTAAAGCAGCTCAACTTTTTGGGATTTAGACTTTATGGATAATGGCTGGGCTTAATTAGAGGATCTGCATGAAAGCAGCTTTTGCATTCTGGCAGCCCTGGCCCAAATGCTCAGATGCTGTTACAGAGGGAAACACATGGAAGACAAAAGGAAAAGGCCAACAATAAAAACTGATATTGTCATAAAAACCTGTCTCAACTTTTGGCCAATCACAGACTATAGTTGTATAGTCCCGTGCAAGCATCCATTTATTCAAGGGGAAGACCACCTCCCCTTCTGAGCCCAGTCTCCTCGCTGAGAAGCTGTGTGTGGAATGCAGCCAACTTCCCCCTTTTTGGAAGAACACATTTTCCTGTATAAATCCACACACTGTCACAGTGTTACAGAACAGCAAATAGCCCTCTTTGCTTTAGTATAAAAGGTTCTCTAGATTTTAATTATGTGATGTACTGAGCATATGAAATGAGAGATTCTTTGTCTAGCTAATGTATTAATATTAATGCATCCCCAACTAATGTGTATTTTTTAAGATTATATACATAGGAAGAAAGCTATAGCAGAAAAAAATAACAAAAATGGGTACCAACTTTAATGTCTCCTTGCAAACAACATTTTTTTTTTGAATCCAGGATTTACCAGAATTATTTACTACCACAAATTCGCAGTAAGAGGCCCTTATTTCTGACTTCAGGATGATGTCTCCTATGTGTCAGCTGCTGGGTCTCTTGGATTTTTCTCTAACTGTCTAACATATTCTCTCATTTAGATTTGCAAAGCACATCATTAGTATTAAATGTCAGAGGTGAACTGAGAAACAGTACTGATCTCTAAAGCTTGTGGTATTTGTAGCTTTAAATTTGGAAACACAACCAGTGCATAATACAAATAAATGTGGCATCACAGAACCCAGCCAAAGGGCCAGTATGCTTATTAAAATAGCACTGTAGAAATTATAAAAGAGAGAAGGAAGATTAGAGAAAATGGAACATTATCCTTGTCCTTTAAGAAAGAACCCCCTCAGGACTAACAAGGTGACAGGACAGAGGGAGAAAGCCAGCTTGCCTGATCTACAATGTGAAAACAAACTTCACAGCTTCATCTTCTTCTAATGCTGAGCCCCAACTCAGCAACAATGATACTCAGATGTAAAATTTCTGCTTTATAATAATAGCTCCACTCTATATTATCTGAAAACAATAACCATAAAATATTTTAAATTGCTCCATATTCAAAATTCTAGTATCAGTGCCTACAAATATAAGCCTTGAGCTTAACCTTGCAGCTTTAGGAAACAGACTGAAACACACCAATAACATATATCATGCCATTCTGAGTTCAGGTTCTTTGTTACATCCCATTAAAAAATTCTGCATCAATTTAAGATGAACAAAATATGCCTTAAATCAGTTACTTCTTGAAATGTTTACATGAATGCATGTAAAGCATCTTACCAGCCAAAAAGAAAGAAAGACAAAAATTATTGGCAGCCTCGCATTGTGGTACAGACCTGTGATCCTAGCTACTTGGGGGGATGAGGAAGGAATATTGTGAGTTCAAGGCTTGACTGGGCTGAGGAGTGAGTGCAAGGCTGGCTTGAGTAACAGAGTGAGCCTCTGACTCCAAACCAAAAGGCAGGCTGGGAGAGGAAGGTCAGGAGCTATAGCTCAGGGACAGAGTTTGGCCCTCCCTGAATTCAATTGTCAGCATGGAGGACAAAACTTACTAGAAGAATAAATACCTGAACATGGGGAACAGGAAGGAAACATATACATTAGCACTTGGTGATTTCTACAAGTATGTCTTTGTTAAGTACAATG